ATTGAGCAAGCCAGCGGTCGCAGGTTTACCCCACGATCCAGACAACCAACCCTCAGCTCCAGAGTATGTGTAGCAGATGCGTGAGTGGCTGGAGATAGCCCACCTCATCACCAGGGAAGCCCTGCGTGAGTCATTCACTTGTGCAAAGAGACAATATGACAATAACTGTTTCCAGACACAGTACAAGATTGGAGATAGTGTGTTATCTCATCAAAGGAACAAGGTAAAAAAGTTCCTCCCACTGTATGAAGGACCATTCTTTGTCCTGGGACAATTTGATGACCTAGTTTATCGGATCCAGATGAACCCAAGGTCTAAAGTGAAAGTTGCCCAGCATGACCAGCTAAAGCATTTTCACTGCCGCCAGCCCCTGGACAATACCTGGGTTCTTGATCAAGCCCATCACTGCTCACCTACGGAGTTTCCACCACCAGCTTTAGGATGACCCAGCAGACTGTGATCTGGGTCTGCAGTCTGTCCTCCACTGCAACTGGCAATGACCCCAGCTTCTCATCCGCCTCAGTTGCAGCCGATCCCGCTGCGATTGTGCTTGTCCCATCATTCCCTTCCCATGTAGACCATGAGAATGGTGGGGGTGTGGTGGGTGAGACCATCTGGGCCAGCAGTTTCAACGACCACCTCACTTAGCTTGGTTTACTTACCATGGACAGTTCCAAGTAGGACAAAAGATTTAGTTCAAGTTTTAAAACTTGGGGACAACATGAGGTCTGTGTATCCATCAGGTGATGGAGCCATGACCTGGTCCCCCTTAGCTTGTGACCTACTGACGGGCAAATACAACAAGGGTGTCCCTGAGAACTCCAGAGCCGCCATGAAGGTACAAGCAGCACAAACACCATCAATCTGAGCTCAGAGCAGCACAATGAGTCCATCTGTTACCCTGCTGATCAATACATGTGTGCGTGCAGGGCTACGCATGGCTGAAAGAGTGCCTCTGCAATGACGAGGGGAAGAAGCAGCTCATTAAAATCAAAGATCTCTATCTGTTGGCCAACAGGCTCAAAATACATTACCTATGGTTGGAAACTATTTTGTGCAACTTTTTTGCATTTACAGTTTTGAGGTATCGATAACCCTCTCAATTTTCTCTAATTAGAAATATATGTAAAAAAACAAAAACAAAAAAACAATTTCAATTTTTTAATAGTTTATTGCACTTTTTTTTTGCTGTTTATGTATTTACTATGGACTTAATGCATACATATTATTAAAGTTTGTGAAATAATGGTTGTATTGATGTATAGCAACTTGAAATACTCCCCAAAATGGCACTACAGCATGTAGAAATATAAAGATAAGCTCTGGCGGACTTGGTTCTATGGTAGGTCTTAAAGGGTTAAATATGCTCAGTAGATTAACTCCAGGTGAGGAGATGACAGCTCCGCCCAGGAAAACTACCAGAAGCTCAAACGGACTATGATAGTAACTGTTAACTCAATGAGTGTTTTCAAATCAGACCTATTTCACAGTAGCTATTTTGATATGAAATGTCAGCTACATGTTATTAATTTCCTAAATCGACTGTCTGCATTTAAATAACTCAGAAGTTCAGTTATAGAAATTAGAAATAAGTAAACTTTTTCCTGTTTATTTATTTCAGGCTGCTATGAAACATGTTTGTGCTCTGATGTGGGTGGCTGTAGCTCAGGTGGCAGAGCAGGTCAGCCACTAATCAGAAGGTCGGTGGTTCGATCCCAGGCTGCCTCCTGGCTGCATGCCAAATATCCTTGGGCAAGATACTAACCCCATGTTTGCCTACTGGTGGTGGTCAGAGGTGGCGCCCGTGTCCGGCAGCCTCGCCTCTGTCAGTGCGCCCCAGGGCAGCTGTGGCTACAATGTGCGTGGTCCTCTCTGCTGGAACAGAAGCTGATCATATCTAATGTTTGTTTCCTCAAAGCAGCACAGAGATGCTATTGGTTCATTTTGCATCACAAACAAATTATTGAGGTGCTGAAAGCAGGAACAGTCAAATCTGCACAACTCACAAACTTCTCACGCTCACCTTCCATTCATTACATAAATGCATGAATTACATGAACTTTGTTCACATAAAATGGAAACTTTTTGCAGTGCAAACAGGAACACTTTGACTGACTCGGACACCGAGTCTAAACAGTCTCACTGATTCATACGGTGAGACTGTGAAGTGGTCTGAAGTGTACAACAAATCAAATATACAAATCATCAGATGTCTCTGGTCATAGTTAGAAACTGCTGCGTATTAAAACAGTTTAAAAGCCTTCACATTATTTGGAATTGTGGGAACAGCAGGGTGATGAGTAGAGTGCATTCAGAGTTTTTCTTCCTTCTTTAGGGCTTTTTTAAAAGGATTTTGGCTGTTAAGGAAAATGAACTAAGCATCGCTCACAAACTGAATTAAATGATCATAAAACAATCACTTATGTGGGCGATGTTTGAAACATTAAATTTGATACAGAAATGTTTTAAAATACTGTTTGTGACCTAAACAGATGGGATAAAATGACAATTTTCTTTTTTTTTCTTTGCCTGACCCGTTTGATTCTTTAACCATCAGAATTGTTGTCTGAAGGCCAACAAAGATAATCAACACGTTTACTTTACCAAGTGGATCATCACAGCCTTGCCATACTGGTCCATTTGATCGACCTTTGATGTTATTATTTATTTATTTTATTTAACTTTCAGTTGTTATAGACGGGGCAGACATGGCCGGCGTATGAAATGACAATTCTGCGGCAGCATCGCAAAAATCCTAAATAAAGGATTACAAATGCTTTTCAACATGCAATGCTGAGCTGTACAGGAAGTCCAGAATAATATTTAAAGGGACAGCAGCAACAAACGTAACTATGCAAGAAGGAGGACATTACAAACAAGCTAAAGTCTTACCTGAAAAACTCTTTATGGCCTGTTTACTTTTCCATGCTTATCATGTTACCACGGCAACCTTAAATGTGTTATGGGGGATTTTGTGTGATAAACCATCACTAATCCCTAATATTTTTGCAGGGAGTTGGCAGCCCTATCAGTTGGGTTGTTTAATATTTCTGCTAAGTACTGTTTAAAATACCAGAATAGGGAGGATGGTGTAGGTTTAAGTTTATTAGACTGATCAGTTTTGCTGAACTATGAAATATTTGGGTGCAGTGTCATTTTTGCATACAGGGTTAACAGAATAGCTTTAGTGTTTTGTTTTTTTAAAACAAGAGTACGAACTTACACAAAATGCAACAAAAATATTTTTAAAAACAGTTTTATTGATTATCAAAATAGACTATAGACTATATCAGCAGATATCCAAATTTATGATATCAGTATCGGACATAAAAAAGTGAAATCCTGACATCTCTAAAGCTGACCTCACAGCCCACTGTTCCTTTAGTGGTGCTATAGTTTCAGTCATTGTACAAGTGCACTGTTTATAAGTTTGGGGAAACCAGCAGTCAGCCCAGACTGAAGAAGTCACTTGGATGAGTTACGAATCCTTTCTCCCATTTATCTTCAGACAGAAAGGCCCACAAACAAACAACAACTAAACGCCGCTGCATTAATAACCCGGCTGTGCACTAAAAAGGAGGAAACCCAGCACCCCAGTGATATCCATTGTTCACGACTCAGGGTGATCGTTTGGCACACCCTGGACATGTCACCAGACTCTGTTAGCAGCGCCAACACATAGACAGAGACAACCATTCATGTTCACATTCATATCTGTCTGCAATATAGATTTCCCAACTAACCAGTACACCCAGTAACATAAAGTAAGAAGGAAAAGGTTGATAATTTACATATTCCTTCAGAATTTACTGGAGAAACTGGTGTTTAAAACCTGAGATATAAAAGAGAGTCATAGACTGTCTCTCACCTGCACCACAAACAGTAGGAAGTTATATTTACATATTATTATCACACTTCCTCATTTATCTTGAGGGACAGTCCACAGTGAGACAGTTCCTGTTATTTTTCCATAGCTTAATGTAAACAAGTCCTTTCATAACTCATATCTACACTGTGTCTTTGTGTCAGTGGGGAAGTCTGTATCTTAAAATTCAAATACTGAGTACAAAGAGAGAGTATGTTAGTACAGATGGTTATTTACTGCACAGCTGTCTGCATGAACACCAGAGAAGAACCAGATGTAAGTTTCAAACCTGCAGGCTCATTTCATGTCTGTGTACAGAGGTGCTGTGTGGACCACATTTGAACTGTTGCTTTTTTCTTCTTGGACAATTTTAAATAGATGATCATTAATTAATAGTAATCATAAATTTATTATAGCAGTGTATGATAAGCTAGATATCTATGTTTAATATAAAGTGCTGCGTGTCCATCAAACACTGAAGAGCTGCTGGATTCATTGTTTCCTCCAAATGACAGAAAAGTCATTTTCATGTGACAGAGCAACGATGCAGTGGAGTCTGTTTCTGCTTCTGCTGATGGGTGAGTGATCATTTTACCAGGGCTCCTGATTGTTTCCACCTGAAATCCTTTAGTTTGATCAGGACTCATTAAACAAATGAACTCTTACTGAGACAATCAAGGATTGACCTGTAAACTGGACAGTTTGATGGGAACATGAGTTTCCTGCTTGTATCAGCAGATATTCAACAGTATTTCTTCTGTTTCAGGTCAGTGTGTCCTCATCACATGTCAGCTGTATGAGTACCACTTTATTAAAGAAGAGATGAGCTGGGATGAAGCACGGGCATACTGCAGAGAGAACTACACAGACCTGGCCCAAGTGTTTGACCTGACAGACATGAGAAGACTTCAAGACTCTGCACAGAATCAAACACAAGCCTGGATTGGACTGTACAACATCACAATAAGAGACAACAGGACGTGGCACTGGTCTCTGCCGGGGGAGGAATACACTGAAAATAAGACCTGTTGGAGAGCTGGAGAGCCAAATGATGTAAAATACCCTGAGAACTGTGTGAGGACAAGAGACAAGTGGGCAGATGTTCCATGAACTAACATGCATCAGTTCATCTGCTATGACGGTGAGAATGTGTGAACAGTAATATGATGAAATAATATTTAATAATGTTATAATGTAGTTTATAATCTGAGTTATATCACATGTTCCTGAAAGAGGCAGTTTTAAGAATGAGACAAATTAGCTGATAAAGATGTTTTTGTGTTTTCTGTTGACTCGACAGAAACAATGAAAGACAATAAACCTTTCATTTGAATGATAAGTCTGTGACCTGGACTCAGGCTCAGAGCTACTGCAGACAGCATCACACCGACCTGGCCAGTGGACTCAATCAGATATACAGTGAAGAGTTTAAGAAGCTGAAGAACTCTAAAGCCCCTAAGGTGAACTCGTGGATCGGCCTGTTCAGAGACAGCTGGAGGTGGTCAGATGGGAGTAACTTCTCTTTCAGATACTGGGACATGGACTCATTCAATGATGGACTAAACAACAGGACATGTGCTACGACTCTGTTACAGAGATCAGGAAGATGGAGCTCTGCTGGATGTGACCAAAGAAAGCCTTTCTTCTGCTATGATGGTGAGTTTACACAGATTTATCTCAGCTGTTTGTCCAACAGATGAACTGCTGGAGTCTCTGAGAGGATTTAGGTCAGTATGTTTCTTCAGCCACTTATTTCTGCAGGTGAAGATGTTTAGCTGATGGTTGGAACAGAGATTTCTCTGTAGAGCAACTGATTCATCTGAAGAATCACTGAAATGTTTTCTTGTTCTTCTAGTGAAACTGGACCAAACATCCCGATATTTTAACTCCAGATTTAACTGACTGATGTTGTCTCTGATTTTGTGGCAGATAAATTGATCCTGATCAGCCAAAACAAAACCTGGGAGGAAGCCTTGACTTACTGCAGACAGACACATCATGACCTGGTTTCAATCAGCAACCCTGAGGAGCAGCGATGGGTCCAGGAAAGAGCCAAAAACGCCTCGACTCCTTTCGTGTGGCTGGGACTGCAGTACTCCTGCACTCTGGATTTATGGTTCTGGGTCAATGACAACCTAGTGTGCTATGAGAGGTGGGCTTCAGGGGGAAAGACTGAAGACTGTGACATGTCTGCAGCCATGACCACAGGAGGGCAGTGGGTCAGACAGAGGATAAATGAGAGATTTAATTTTATTTGTATAAACACTAAAGTTTAAACCTAAAGTCACTTCTTAGCTGCACATGTAGATTTTCTGGGGTGAACTCTGTGTTTCTGCTCAGTGTTTACAGTCTCTGGATTTGAAAATGACCAACAGATTGTTACCTGCAGCTTAGACATTTGCAGAGAGCAGTCTGTGTTTCATGTCCTCTCCTTTACCAGAGTCAGGAACATCTTGGTTTCTTCCTTCATTGTTGCTGGATTGGTTCATTATTAAACTGTAGCAGGATATTTGTTTTGATTTAGTTCAGATAAGGTGATGGTTTTAATGTTTCTGCTTCATGTGCTGTAAATCTTTGTATCGCACCATTGTATCCTCAGCTTGAATTACAAAGCCTGTCACTAAAAGCAGGTAAAACCATGTTTGTGTCATGACTCCATATGAGCTCTATAATCTGATCATGTGTTCATGAAGACAAATAAACCTTCATTTAACCAAGTCTGTCACTGTTACATCTTTCACATTAGCTAATGCAAACAGCGCCTCTTAATGATAAGACCAGTTAAGAGCAAAGTCAACATGATGCGTTTCTACAGCTCGCATCAAGCCAGTCACAGCAAAGGTGCATCCAACACATGCATACCAAAGCTACCTGGTTTTACAGGTACACACTACATACATCATAGTATATTATATTAACTGCAGCTAATGCTTTCCATGTAGCATTAATGTAATGATGAAATTTATCTCCTGTGTTGAGCACAGGGGGCGTGTCCAAACGAAGCCTGTGTTAAGGCCCAAAGAGACCCATAGACCAAAGACAAATGAGGCCTTGTTTCTTTGAAATGATGTCACTGCCTCATTATGTGATTTGAGCTGTTGAAAAGACAAAGATCTAGATCGGAGGTGATTTTAGGAACTTCACAAGCGTGCATGGCCGTTGGAGGCAGATTATGGAGCCACCAAAAAGACAACAGACATCAGTAGTTAGGAAAATTTTGACGTGCTGACGCCCGGTAATAACATAAGTCTTAAATCAGTCTCATAGAGCTTTGTTAGTTAGGAGTGTGTATGTGACATCGGACCTCATATGAGTGCTCTGCAGTTGATACATTGTTATGTTTACATGTCACTCGCACTGCGCAAAGTCACGTCGGAGTAACATCTTTTAAAAGTTCATTTTGGACTTCCAATTTTGGTCCACTAAAGGTTCATTTTGTAACACCGGTCAACGTCTTTTTTTAAATGTCTGTGTTGGTGTCCTTAGGACCTCTGTATGTGGGCTCCTGGGCTAAAACAAAAGTGAGCAGCTGCTCAGTGGATGTGGAGCAGAAATGTCTCCAGCTTCTCACAGACAGTTTGTAAAACATGAACATCCACAAAGACTGTCGAGGAGATAGTCCAGTTCATACACACTGGCACAAACTTAGAGTCACCGATCACAACCACAGTCACTTCCTCTCAGAAGCATTTCACAATAAAACAGGAAACTTGTAAAAATGAACCATACATAATGTAAATGCTCGTTTAAACTTGTTAAACACACTGTACTCCTTTTAAAAGGCATTTAAAAATTTGTCTGAATATTTTAAACATTCTTATTTTACAGTTTATGGTTTCAATGTTTTTAGTATTTCAACACATTTAAATCAATCACATTTTTAACCTGGTTACAAACAAATAAGGTGATTAATTGAAATTTATTGTGCTATTCTTACATGGTGTATTGTCTGTCTCTGTTACTGTTTGTTTATACTGGATCACTGTAACCACAAATAATTTCCCCTGAGGATCAATAAAGTATTCTGATTCTAAATAAACAAGTTAAATAAAAACAGGTACACACACTGAAAAAATCAATAGGCTAACACATGTGTGTTTATAAATAATCTGTATTCTCATGTGTCATACTGATATTTGTAAAAAAATAATTACTTATTAATCATTTAAATTTCCTGCACCTTTCATAGACGTCCAATTAACGTCCAAAAAATCACCCAGTTCGAAGTCCAAGTGTTGAATGTCATGTTGCCGTCCAGGTTGGGTAATGGTTGGATGGCGAATAAATGTCCACACCTGGTCATTAAAGGATGGACTCAATATAGACACGATGTGGGCATGGATGACTGTAGGCACAGGGAGCACAAGGTTAACACAGGTTGACAAAAGCAAAACATAAAGGCCGATGTTCCACCATGAGGAAGCTGATTTTCTCTCTGATTGGGCGTCTTCAATGTGGACAATCCCCAGTCTTTGAATCAGAAGTGAATGCACCAGAAAAAGTAGAAAAATAAGCAAGACAACAATAAAAAACACAAAAACAAAGGTTTAAAAAATTAAAAGATAAAAACACTAACCTCCGTGCTTCAGTTATCATTTACTACCTACATGTTTCTCTTCTTAAACATGCCAGCATTAAATGCGTTTTCCCCTTTGTCCTGAAAATATCATCATTACTAGAATTATTAATATTAGTAGTCGTAGGAGTAGCAGTAATAGTAATATATCAGTGAGTGGGGCTACTTTTAGCACTACATATGCAGCAGGTCTACAGATATAAGGCCTTTGCTCCTCTTTGGACGTTGGCTGCCTTTGTTCTCTGTTGTGTGTTTTTCTATCCAGTTGTGCTTGACTGCATTGACAGTGTGTTTGGACCACCGTCCCAATCTTCACAGTTAGATGCTTTCCATGTGGCAGTGCATGGTGTGTCTGTTTCTTAAGACATGATTTTCTCATACTGTCCACCTGCTGTAGATAGATTATTAGGCCTGCTGCTTCTTCCTTTGTCCTCCACTGGTTTGGAAGGACAACTTTTTTAAGGACACACTGCACAGCAAACTGAGAAATGCCAGGTTTTCAGCCAATGGCTCTTTGCGGATCAACATGTCGGAGAAAGATGCTCTTCTATTCCTGTCAGGCTGCGTTACCTTTAGCACTGTTCGTAGATACGACTAAAGAAAAGACAACAAACAATGTGTTTTTGTGACAGACTGCTTTTTGTGCCTTCTTTATGTTTCAAATTCAAATTCAAATTCAAATTTTATTTGTCACGTACACAGTCATACACAGTACGATATGTAGTGAAATGCTTGGACAACTGCTCGTGACCTAAAGAAAACAAAAAAGGAAAAGGCTATGAATAAGATAGGAAATAAATATGAAAAATTAAAAAGGGTAAATTTAACTAGGAAGGAATAAAATATAAATTAAGGTTAAAAATGAAATAACTGTACAACACAAATTAGAATGAAGGGTAAATTTAACTGGGAAGGAATAAGATAAAATATATAAATTAAAGTTGAAAATAAAATAACTGTACAACAAAATACACAATACACAATATAGAACTATATAAGAATGTATGAAGAAATCTAAATATAAATAAATATATACACAATAACAGCAGCTGTACAAGTATTAACTGGAAATGAAGAATATATGTTTGAATGGTTCATAGGTCAAAGTTCAATGGCTTAGCAAAAACATTCCTATGAAAATGGTCAAGCAGTAGAGTTGGATGTCTCGAGACCGGTCTCGGTCTCGAGACCACTTTTACGTGGTCTTGGTCTTGTCTTGGTCTCACTGTCTCGGTCTTGCTTTCTCAGATCAGTGTTGCCAACTCCTCAGTAAGGAAAATCGCTATTGGCTGTCCTAAAAGTCACTAGAAGTCGCTAAATGACGTCATTGCCTAATTTGCATAATTGGTCATGCTTGTAAACTACGCTGTAGGAGAGAGAAATAAGTGAGTAAAAAACATCCTAAATGCATTTGGGAATTTATATTTACAACTACAAGTTACATTTCTTTTAGCAATTATTGTTTTAATATCATGATTCCCACCCTCCTCCTTTATCCGGGCTTGGGACCGGCAAAAGTGACCCAAAATAGGCACTCTGGCGGAGTAACTTTTTTTTTTCTTCCTTTTTTAAGTAGTTTTAAACCACACAAGACTGTTTTGGTAGCTCTCGTGACTTTAATAGCAACGCCATAAACGACACTGGGACAGCTCTGTCTTATCGTGGCGACTCCGTTTATTGCCAAACTGCAACATTCAATACACACGGCACAACCACCAGAGGGTGCTGCATGAACCCTTGAGTTAGTCCTTACCATAACATCCCCCTTTCTGAGTACATTATAACCATAATGTTTCCTGTGCTAATCCACATTTATGTCAACACTACATTCACTGCAACTTAACTTGTAGCTGAATATTTCAATGCTGTTACATTAACTTTTATTCTGTAACGGACATTTATTGTTTCCACTTTATAACAATTATTTTGTTTAACTGTGTGAACTTATCCAACTATGAAGGTGGGGTAGACTTCCCAATCCTTCCGCTGAGTGAGGGGATTATTCTGCCCCTGGCTGGTCACTCAGGTGCTCGAGAGTACCTACTACCTACTTCAGAGTCTTTAAGGTACCTCGGTGGGTTTCTGTCTCTGGTGGGATATCTTTTCTCAGTAATCCGGTCATTCGGTGGTGTAAGACACTGCTGTGCCTGGTTCGAAACCGGGCTGCTGCTGTCTTCTGGTATGACAGGGATCTGCTGTTCTGTCGGTTCCGTCTTGGTCTCTTTTAGTGTGATGAGATGGCTCCTGTTTCGACGTAGAAGTCCTCTCGGGGTCTCAACAAGGTAAGAACGCGGCGTCTCTGCTCTGCCTGATGTAGTTCCATTTGTTTTCATGTCTGTTATCCAGACTTGATCTCCTGGGTGTAGTCCAGTGAGGTCTTGTGCTCTGTGTCTGTTGTTGAACCATTTCCACTGTTTTTCTCTCTCCTTCCCTTCTCTCTCTCTCAGTTTAGTGATGTTTGTCCAGCCTGGGTTGAGGCAGGATGGAAGTATGGGAACTGTGGTACGAAGTTTCCTCCCCATCAGAAGCTCTGCAGGGCTATGTCCATTGGCAAGTGGTGTGGCGCGATATGCCATGAGAGCAAGATATGGGTCTCCTTCTTTCTGTAGAAGGCTCTTTACTGTTCTCACTGCTCTTTCAGCCTCACCATTGCTCTGAGGGAATCTCGGGCTGGAAGTGGTGTGGGCAAAGCCCCACCCTGAAGCAAACTTTTGGAAATGTTCTGAGGAGAATTGTGGACCGTTATCCGACCTTAACTCTGTTGGAATGCCGTGGCGTGCGAATATGGACTTTAAGTGGTCAATCACTGCTGCTGATGTGGTAGAGGACAGCTTAGCTATTTCTATGTATCGTGAGAAATAGTCCACTGCAACCAAATACTGGCTGTTACTCCACTCAAAAAGATCAGCACCAACTAACTCCCACGGCCGTGTAGGAAACTCAGTTGGCATGAGTGTTTCTCTGGGTTGCTGTCTCACCTTTGCACACGTCTCACATTCTGCTACCAGCTGTTGTAGTTGAGAGCTCAGTCCTGGCCACCATACCGACTGCTTGGCTCGTTCCCTGGACTTTACAATGCCCTGGTGACCTGTGTGCAGTCGTGTCAAAACATCTTTTGTAATATTTTTGGGATAACTATACGCATACCTTTTAGGAGAAGTTCATCTTCAACAGTCAGGTCCCCTGCATGCTGGTGGTATGGGAAACATGGACCTGGTATTTTGAGTTTGTCCGGCCAGCCATTCTTGCAGTAGAGTTTGATTTGTTTTAGTGTTTCGTCTTTGTCTTGCTGCTCTCTTATTTGTTGTAGTCTCTCCTCTGTTGCAGGAAGACCTGAGATCACCTGATGTGCATACAGGTTCATTTCGTCTCTTAATGTCTCATCACAAACAGTTTTTTCTGGTGCTCTGGACAGCACGTCTGCAGTTGCGATGTGTTTGCCTGGGACATGTGAGATGGTGAAAGAGTACCTCATTAATCTCATTCTCAGTCTTTGTACTCGTGGTGGCAGTTCGTCTAAGTTCTTGGAGCCCAAAAGTGGTACTAAAGGCTTGTGATCTGTCTCAACATGGAACTCAATGCCTATAAGAAAATCAGAGAATCGCTCACATGCCCAGGTTATGGCTAACGCTTCCTTCTCTATTTGAGCGTACCTCTGTTCCGTGGGGGTTAATGCTCTTGAAGCGAAGGCCACTGGTTTGGTTGCGTCATCCTCTTGTTTCTGAAGTAGCACCGCTCCTAGTCCATAGGAGGATGCATCAGCTGATACTGTTGTTTGTGCTTTGGGGTTGTAGAGTGCCAAGTTCGGTGGTTTACTCAGTTCTGCCTTAATGTTGTCAAATGCTGTTTGTTGAGCCTCACTCCAACACCACATGTTTTTGGTACTGAGTAGTTCTCTCAACGGCTGTGTTTTCTCTGCTAAGTGGGGAAGGTACTTGCCTAGATGATTAACCATTCCTAGGAATCGTCTCACTCCACCCACATCCGTGGGCGCTTCCATGTTGCTGACTGCTTTCACTTTCTCCGGGTCTGCTTTGACTCCTGCAGCATCGATGATCTGTCCGAGGAACTTGATTGAGGTCTTTGCAAACTCACACTTCTCACTTTTCAATGTCACCCCAGCTTTTGTGAGCCGTTCCAGGACTGCGATCAGTCTCTTGTCGTGCTGGATTTGTGTGTCAGCATAAACCAGAATGTCATCCATCTGGCAGACGACTCCTTCCAGCCCCTCTAAAAGCTGAGACATTCGTTTTTGGAAGTGTTCGGGGGCGAAGATATGCCAAAACAAAGTCTATTAAAACAGAACCTTCCGAATGGCGTGATGAAGGTTGTGAGAAGAGCTGACTGTTTGGACAAAGGTATTTGCCAAAACCCTGAGTTAGCGTCGAGTTTTGAGAACAACTTTGCGCCCTCTAGCTGTCCTAGGGTGTGCTCAACTGATGGCAACACGTGTCTTTCTCTTTTCACAGAATTATTTAGTTTGGTCAAGTCCACGCACACACGCACTTCATCTCTGTTTGGTTTAGGTACTGGAACCATTCCTGCACACCAGTCGGTAGGCTGCTCTACTCTGGAGATTACACCTAACTCTTCCATCCGAGCAAGCTCTCTTTTGACTTTGGGTAACAGGGGAAGCGGGACTCTTCTTGGAGTTGACAGGGCAAACGGTTTGGCGTCTGCTTTAAGCTCAATTTTGTATTCCCCCGCCATCCGGCCTAACCCACTGAATAGTGTTGGAAACTGCTGCTTCACTGTTTCTACTGAAGTGAGTGACACAGTTTCTATTCTAGCCACTAACCCGAGTGCTACGCTCGCTATGCGGCTTAGTAATCCTTGTGTCAGGTCTGCTACTACATACACAGGCTGTACTGTAGCTTTGCTTGGAGTGCTCAAGTTAGCAGTAAATTTCCCTCTAACTGTTAATGGAGACATTCCCACCTCATATAGTTTCAGATCTGTGGGTTGCAGCTGCGGTTTTTGTGCTAGAGTGTTGTACTCTTTTTCAGGCAAGACGGTTACGTCCGCTCCTGTGTCAATTTTTAGCCAGCAGTCTGCATTGTTAACTTTTACTTTAGTCAACCACGCATCCTCTGTTCTATCTGAGGCTACCGTTCCCAGAAATGCTATTTCTCTTTCTTCTCTGTTACCACCCACTGCACGTATTTCTCCCACTGCCCCAGACCTACATACTCTTGCGTAGTGACCTTTCTTTTTGCACTGATTGCAGAGTACCTCTCTGGCTGGGCACTGGTGTTTGCTGTGAAAGGGTGTCTTTCCACATCGGTTGCATTGGCTTTTCACATTCCTCTCCGTGGTTTGTGGTACAGTCTTTCGTGGTTTGAAGTGTTTCGTTTTTGCTTTAACGATGTCCACGTTGCAAAGATTCTCCTGCTTGAAGTTGTTTTTAAGAAGATCCTGTTGTTTCTTAACAAGTTCACTTTGGCGAATCCGTATCACTGCTTTTTCTAATGTGAGCTCCGCATCCATTTGTAGTTGCTCCGAGAGTCTCTTGTCTCTTATTCCGACAACGAGTCTGTCTCTTATCATTTCACTGTGCAGCGCCCCGTAGCCACAATGCTCAGCCAAGGCATATAGGGATGTAATAAACCCGTCTGCAGTCTCTCCTGCTTCTTGCTGCCTTTGGTTGAACTTTGCACGTTCAAAGATAACATTTCTTCTGACTACAAAGTGTGCCTCGAGTTTGTCTTTGAGAGTGTGGTACTCACTCGCCTCCTCTTCGGTCAGGTTCAACGAAGTGATCACGTCTTCAGCTTCATCGCCCATTGTATATATCAGAGTGTTAACCTGGTTTTCGTCCGATTGTAGCTCGAGTCCGGATGCTATCCTGAACCTGTCGAAGCGTCGGATCCATTTCGGCCACTCTTCCGGCTTTGAAAAATCAAACTTCGACAGCGGTGATACTTGAAAGGCTGCTGGTGCGGCCGCCATGTTGCTAGTCGCGAGATGCTAGTTAGCGCTTCTTGCTAATTTGTTAGCTTAGCTCTTACTGTGGCTGTTATTGCAACCTTGCAGGGCGAGTTCTCTCCGGTGAGGAAGTTTCCGTGTTCCGTTATGTTCTTCTTCTCTCCCGAGCACTTCTGACACCATGTTTTGGTAGCTCTCGTGACTTTAATAGCAACGCCATAAACGACACTGGGACAGCTCTGTCTTATCGTGGCGACTCCCTTTATTGCCAAACTGCAACATACAATACACACGGCACAACCACCAGAGGGTGCTGCATGAACCCTTGAGTTAGTCCTTACCATAACAAAGACTAAGGGTAAAAGAAGAACATTTTAACCATAATGTTGTTAACAAACTACATTAGCAATCTAAATGGACCAAAAACAGACAGTAGAAATAAACAGTGGCAATGCGAAAAAATGATGGGGACTAGTCTGGTCCTAATTCAGGCTGATTGGGTTTTTTTTTTCAGACATCCAGGCTGTGCTGGCCTCAGAAAGAGTGGGTCATCTTCATTTTTGTCAAGATTCTCTACAGTTCAGCAACTGCAACCTTTAATACCATCCGGCCCTGTATGCTTCAGGAAAAACTGAACAGGATGGAGGTGGACCCCTGCCTGGTGGCTTGGATCTCCGACTACCTCACCGACAGACCACAGTACGTCAGGCTGAAGGACATCACGTCTGACACTGTGGTCAGCAGCACAGGAGCACCACAGGGAACTGTGCTGTCCCCTCTTCTCTTCACCCTGTACACCTCTGACTTCTGCTACAACTCTGAATTATGCCACATTCAGAAGTTTGCAGATGACACAGCCATCATGGGGTGTATCTGGGATGATCAGGAAGAGGAGTACAGAAGTCTGGTGAGGAACTTTGTCGCATGGAGTCACACAAACCACCTGCAACTCAACACCTCAAAGACTAAAGAACTGGTTGTGGACTTCGGGAGGTCCAGAGAAGGTCCACTGCCGGTTCAGATAGAGGGGGAGGAGGTGGAGGTGGTCAACAAGTACAAGTACCTCGGGCTGTGGGTGGACAATAAACTGGACTGGTCATGCAACACAGAGCACCTGTATAAAAAAGCCCAAAGCCGACTGTACTTCCTCAGGAGGCTGAGGTCTTTTAACATCAGCAGGAAGCTCCTGAGGATGTTTTACCAGTCAGTGGTTGCTGGAGTACTTTTCTATGCTGTGGTGTGCTGGGGGAGCAGCACAGCAAAGAAGGACTCATCCAGGCTGGAGAAACTGATCAGGAGGGCTAGCTCTGTGGTCGGCATGAAGCTGGACACTCTGGTGACAGTGGCAGAGAAAAGGACATTAAAGAAACTGATGGACATTATGAACAATGCTGGGCATCCTCTGCACACGGCCATAAACAATCAGAAGAGTCTGTTCAGTGACAGGTTGCTTCTCCCCAAGACAAGAACTAACAGACTTAAAAACTCCTTTGTCCCACACGCCATCAGACTGTTTAACTCCTCTCTGGAGGGGAGAGGGAGGGGAAACAGGAAACAGGAGGACAAAGGAGGGGGGAACAACTAAGCTGTAGTGCCTCTTCACCTCACTGTACAATACCTTGTGCAATACTTTTTGTAAATAGTCAACAGTGCAATAGACTCAATACTTGAAATGTGCAATTCACTTGTATTTTTATTTTTTATTCCTATTTATTCTATTTATCCCCTTCGTATATTTTATTTATATTGTCTCTGTATTTATATATGTGTGTGTGTG